GATAAAACTAATATAAAAGAAGAAAAACTATGGAGAGAAAAATCTCCTCCTAAACAAAACTCTTTAATGACTACATTGTGGATTTTTTTTTGTGCTCTTGTGAGAAATAGAGATCCTTAATTTATAGATGTGCAAAACTTGTCTTCCAAGAAAAGGATAAGACATATTAAGGAGATTTAGTCCTTTTATGAGTCTTTTTCCATTCCTTCAAGAAAGAGAGTCCTAATAGATTAGAAATTCAGGGCAAAGTCCTAACAAAATGAATCTTAGCATTGTTTCAGTCAGTTAAACAAACCTCTCAGGTTACAGAAAACAAACCTGTTAAAGTAGTTCTTAATATGATGTCCCACAAACCTTAGCTTAATACTTTTTAAAGTTCCAGATCTTGAGACTTTATCATCTTGTTAATGAAAGAAGTATCTTGTTGCGCCAGCCTTAGTCACATCCCCCTAGAGTCTTCAGCATTTTTTTCTTCATTACATAAGAATCTATCTTGGAAAAAGCCACTGAATTTTGAACAAACCACAAGTCTAAAAGATGTGTCTGCTCATGTTTGTCTCTCAGGATCAGAACAGGATTATCACAAAAGAAAAAACTGAAATAGCTCACCACACCAAAACATACAGTATATAGCACAATCAAGTGTATTGCATAATTCTAGCAGCCTAGCACTAATCCTGAAGTCCGTTGTCCATGAGATATTATTAAGCTTAGACTTCAGAATAAACTGTACATTAGGCAGAGTATATTCAACATTCTTGGTTAGTCCAATTCCATTCCATTGCGAAATGATTTATATATCACTCAACATCAATGATTTGGCTAACAGGATATGTGGTTATAAAAAGCACTTGGCTCGAGCAATACATCAAGATTTCTAAGAGACAACTGTTTCAGGCTGTTTGTGAATAGGTTTTGCTTTCACTAGGAATACGAATACTTTCTTTCATGTAGTTTATTGTGTATGGGAAAATTTTCTAAAGAAACAATAATACGATCAACACTGAGAAAGAAAATTTCAAAAAGCAAGCATTGCTTCGCTCAAGATTAGGCAACAACAACAACAACAACGACCCAGTGAAATTCCACTAGTGGGGTCTGGGGAGGGTAGTGTGTACGCAGACCTTACCCCTACCTCGAGGGAGTAGAGAGGCTGTTTTCGAAAGACCCTCGGCTCAAGATTAGGCAAGAGGTATTTTTGCACTTACAATAAAAATCAGGATGCCTGATAGATCTCCAAATATATGCATGTCTTGGACAGAAATTTTCAATGAATCAGAGCTTATTCATATATTCATTCACACAGAAGATAACCATATCCAGCATTACATCTTCAAATGTACTGACTTTCATTTGTGCAAAATTCTGCTATGAAGCTTAGCCCGCGTAGCTGCGGTCTGTGCTGGCTGCATATAACAGAACTAGAATTCAAGTAAAATACCAAAGACTAAAGGATCTGGTTCTGCTGATTAATTAAAACACTAACTTCAGTTCTCAAGAAAATAGCAGCCTAACCAAAGAGAAGAAAGTAACACTTGATATGATATGCGAACAGATTATTGTTAGACACAGGGTTGGAAATATCCTAGAAAAGCTTTTCTACTAATTCAAGCTATATCATCAAAATTGTTGAAAAGTTGTACAAAATAATAGAAACAGCATTTGGAATCTATTGTTGGTGAAAATACAATTACAATTAGAAAAAAATGAGAAAAATTAAAAGTTTTTCAGGTTGAGGTGCGGATATTATAGCAAGGAGATTCAAGCCAACTGAATTAATCTTCACTGGTCCAACATTAATATTCTGACTTGCCTGACTAGGCGTGTGACTCAAACAAACTCTGAACTATCTATAGCTACCACTAAGAACACCTTACTTCAACCAATCTTCAACAAATAATAATCTCCTGTTTTAGTGAATATATTGGAGATTTAGATTTTTTTCTCTTTTTGAAAATACTCTATTTTTTTCTTTGCAACACCATTTTGACTTTTCAAGCACATTGCAACACTTTTCTATATATCATACAAGGAATAAAGACTCTTATTTATCGGTATAGGATTTCTTCCATAGAGTAAATAAGATGATAATTGGATAGCAAAGTAGTAAGAACTTCTGATATTAGGGTGGTGGATAATTTAGTGGGCAAGTAGTGGGACATATCATGGGTGATAATATGAAAAATATTATAACCACTTTCTAGATCATGAAATATTATATAAAAAGATATTATAACCACTTTCTTGTCTTTATAGCCACTAAAAAAAATTGAAACAGTCATATATTGTAATATAAATATTTTTAGAATTCCCTTGGTTCAAAAAAGAATGGCCCTATTTTTTTAAAAGATTGATATATTCCTATATTTTTTTAACAGAAAGTATTTAGGCACAATAGTTAAAGACCCCCGCTCCTCTCCCCCTCCCCCCCCCCCCCGGACCG